CCCCGCCTGGTTCCCCCCTCCCCAAATCCTCCTTTCGGACTTGATGGGAGCCTAGCCTGGTGCCCAGGAGGGGCTTAATTTTACTTAAGTGGGCATGTGGGCTCTTGATTTGTTGGGGACGGGCGAAATCACTAGTCAGGACGCTGCCCAATGGCTGAGAAAGGGGTCCCTTTTGCTCTGGGTTCAAATTCTGGGCGTGGTAATCCAAATATATTGAACAGCATGCTGGCTTTGGGATTCTGGGAGTTGAATTCCAAATGTATTAAAATCTGCTGGCTGGGGGATTCTGGGAGTTGAAGTCCATCCCTCTTAAAGCATGCAAACTGGGGAATTCTGGGAGTGGAAATCCAAATGTATTAAAATCTGCTGGCTGGGGAATTCTGGGAGTGGAAGTCCATCCCTCTTAAAGCATGCAAACTGGGGAATTCTGGGAGTTGAAGTCCAACTGTATTAAAATCTGCTGGCTGGGGGATTCTGGGAGTTGAAGTCCGTCCCTCTTAAAGCATGCAAACTGGGGAATTCTGGCAGTTGAAGTCCAACTGTATTAAAATCTGCTGGCTGGGGAATTCTGGGAGTGGAAGTCCATCCCTCTTAAAGCATGCAAACTGGGGAATTCTGGGAATGGAAGTTCCAAATGTATTAAAATCTGCTGGCTGGGGGATTCTGGGAGTGGAAGTCCACAAGTCTTTGAAGTGGCCTAGTTTGGAGACCCCTTTATCTGAAGCCTGGCTTTTACGGGTTTGGGCAAAGTTGTTTGAAGTGACCTGATTCCCACGCTGGCTGGCGGCCGAAATCTGCCTGTGGGTGGGTGGGGGGGCGAGACATCCCCAAGGAGACCCCGCCTCTTAGCCCGTCTGTCGCCTTACAGATCACTCCCGATCGGAGAGAGACGTGCCTGGGCTTTTGAAAAACATCTGGCTGGCTCTCCTGGGGCAACACTTTGATTTCAACACTGCCTTTTTTGCACGTTCGTTTTTTTTTGGGGGGGGGGTCTGCAAACAGACCTCCAGCTGCCCTTCTGCAGCTCCTGGCCTCGTGCAGACTTGCGTTAATGAGGTTTTTCTCATTTTAACTCCACGTTGAGGACGGCATCGCTTCTTGGCGGGACTCTGCGGAATAAGAGATTCCAGAGGGAGGTTGGAGGTCTTCTAGTCCACCCCCCACCCCACCCTGCTCAGGACCATCTTCCAGGGGTTGTCAACCTTTTTTTGGGCCATGCCCCACCTAAGCATCCTTAAAATCCTCATTCCCTCCCTCCTGGTGAGATATAATTCTTACTTTACTCAAAAAGTGTCACTCTCTTCACGCAGAAGAAGCCCAAAAGACTATTAACTTGGTTTAAACAAGGTTTTGCACACGCTCAGAAGACCAGCTGGCCAGTACATGCTTGCCTGTTTTTTTCCCGGCGTTTTCAGGCCATTTTTGAGCCATTCTTGGCCTGAAAAAAATGCCCCCTAAATCAGCCTGGAAAATGCCTTGAAAAAAGTTTTTAAAAAAGACCCAGAAAAGATCATTTTTCGGACCAATCAGCTTCCCTCGATCCATCCATCAATTCTCCCTTCGCCGTCAGGAAATCCCTCCTCCCTTCCAGGTTGCTTCTCTCCTCCGTTAGTGTCCCTCTCTCGCTTCTTCTTTCCTTCCTTTCAGGGGCTTTGGAGAACAGATATCGTGTTTCCCCACCGAAAATAAGACCCGGGTCTTATATTAATTTGGGCTCCAAAAAGATGCATTAGGGCTTATATTCTGGTTAGGCCTTATATTTGGAGAAATACGGCACTTAGTGCATCCCCCTGGCTGGCAATCTTAATTAGGATTTATTTTTGGGTAGGGCTTATTTTTGGGGGGAAACAGGGTAGACGCCCCCCCTTTGGGGCTTCTCCTTTGCGGCCCTCTCCCAAATATTGGAATCTTGATCTCCCTGTCCCCCCCGGTCCTTCTTTTCGTTAAACTAGACATCCCCAAAGCGTCCTTGGCCTGTTTTTTTATCCCTCCATCCCTCAAACTAGGGGTGCCCCTTCCTCCAGGAGCCCCTCCCTGCGGACCTGGCTCTCTCCGGGGCAGAGCCGTCCCTGTTCCCACGCCGGCTGGCTTCTTTCTCCCTCTCTCTCTCTCTCTCTCTCTCTCTCTCTCTCTCTCTCTCTCTCT